CTCACACACACACAGACACACACACACACACATATATATAATATACATTTATATATCTACATATATATGTACATATATATTTATATAATGTACATACATATATATGTATATATATACTATATATGTATATATGTGTGTGTTGTACGTAACTACAACACGCAAGCAAATACTTGCGTATATACACAGATACAAATATGCTCACAGACACATAGGCATAATATATCTACCAATAAATTTAATCGTCTAGTCCTTTGCCAATCGAACTTTCTGCCAATCTCCTATTTATTCGAATGTCAGTCTGTCAATACATACACAAAGCAAAATACAGGCAGATTAATAGATGTATTGAACATGCAGATATATCTTTCATGAACAGAGGTACATTCGTTTACCTGAATCGATGGGTACACCGACATGCGAATGAATGGAATATTCTTTCATGTGACTAATAATCTATGAATATTGTAATGGAGGAAGAAAAATGTTGAAGGTTACTTGTGGTCGCTGACCGAAGAGTTGGCGCATTCACTAATACCATGAGAAATGTTCACTTCAGTTCAGTGGATGGTAAAGTATAAAGTTTCAATGTACAAAGTAGGAGCTCTTGGTCCCACTGAATCCGGTTGTTCCTGAATTATATTATAACTTCTATGGTTGCAGCATGAGGTGGTTGTGGCGGTTGTGGCTCAGGTCGAGTTTCACCAAATTCTTCCCTTTCTTGGTGGTGACGGTTGTTTGTGTGCATCAGATCCTCACCCACGACGTGAGTATTTTCAGGTGTTGTGTCTCTCTTTCACCACAAGAGAAGTCCACGCTCATGGGACTCAGTTCGTGGATCTTTCCCTGCTTCTTAAACACGTGTGTACAATAAAAAACATGTATATATACCATAAACATTGTTATAATATAGCTACAAATATCAATACATCTGTATATATATATATATATATATATATATATATATATATATATATATATATATATATATATATATATATATATATATATATATATATATATATATATATATATATATATATATATATATATATATATATATATATATATATATATATATATATATATATATATATATATATATATATATATATATATATATATATATATATATATATATATATATATATATATATATATATATATATATATATATATATATATATATATATATATATATATATATATATATATATATATATATATATATATATATATATATATATATATATATATATATATATATATATATATATATATATATATATATATATATATATATATATATATATATATATATATATATATATATATATATATATATATATATATATATATATATATATATATATATATATATATATATATATATATATATATATATATATATATATATATATATATATATATATATATATATATATATATATATATATATATATATATATATATATATATATATATATATATATATATATATATATATATATATATATATATATATATATATATATATATATATATATATATATATATATATATATATATATATATATATATATATATATATATATATATATATATATATATATATATATATATATATATATATATATATATATATATATATATATATATATATATATATATATATATATATATATATATATATATATATATATATATATATATATATATATATATATATATATATATATATATATATATATATATATATATATATATATATATATATATATATATATATATATATATATATATATATATATATATATATATATATATATATATATATATATATATATATATATATATATATATATATATATATATATATATATATATATATATATATATATATATATATATATATATATATATATATATATATATATATATATATATATATATATATATATATATATATATATATATATATATATATATATATATATATATATATATATATATATATATATATATATATATATATATATATATATATATATATATATATATATATATATATATATATATATATATATATATATATATATATATATATATATATATATATATATATATATATATATATATATATATATATATATATATATATATATATATATATATATATATATATATATATATATATATATATATATATATATATATATATATATATATATATATATATATATATATATATATATATATATATATATATATATATATATATATATATATATATATATATATATATATATATATATATATATATATATATATATATATATATATATATATATATATATATATATATATATATATATATATATATATATATATATATATATATATATATATATATATATATATATATATATATATATATATATATATATATATATATATATATATATATATATATATATATATATATATATATATATATATATATATATATATATATATATATATATATATATATATATATATATATATATATATATATATATATATATATATATATATATATATATATATATATATATATATATATATATATATATATATATATATATATATATATATATATATATATATATATATATATATATATATATATATATATATATATATATATATATATATATATATATATATATATATATATATATATATATATATATATATATATATATATATATATATATATATATATATATATATATATATATATATATATATATATATATATATATATATATATATATATATATATATATATATATATATATATATATATATATATATATATATATATATATATATATATATATATATATATATATATATATATATATATATATATATATATATATATATATATATATATATATATATATATATATATATATATATATATATATATATATATATATATATATATATATATATATATATATATATATATATATATATATATATATATATATATATATATATATATATATATATATATATATATATATATATATATATATATATATATATATATATATATATCAATACATCTGTTTTGTTTTGTTTTCAATCGACGAATTTGGACGTTTTGGGGTACTTTACAGTTATAGGATTTTAAACACACGTGTATTTCAAAGGAACGCTAGAGTCTATAGATTCATTTTCATGACACTGAATTACCATTGCGAGTACTAAAGCATATTTAATCAGTAAAGTCATCGCTTTATGCTCTTCGCTCGACAAAACCAATAGACGAAGTCATTCTATAAACTACCGACACTTTTTTTTTCCCCGCAATGTAAAAATCCGACTTAACATAACGGACGCCCGACGTTGAAATTAAATAGGCCTGTTTCTTCTTCGCCTATCAGCCATGGCTTCATTCGAGGGACAGAAGCGACGAAGTGGTCCAGGAGGTGGAGACTCAGAGAGAGGAATCTCAGGGCACCGTCGCCGCCGCCGTCGTTGTCTCCACTCGGCCTCCCGACGGTCTTCCCCTTCCAGAGCCATCCCTTTCTTCTCCAAGTGACTGGATGGAGGTACGTGTGAATAATGACCTATGGTTGTAGTTACTATTGTCTTTATTATTTTTAGTATCGTTATTATCATTTGTTTTATTGTTGATGTTGTTGTTTTTAATGTTATTATTATTATCACTATTTTATTATCATTATTGTTATAGATGTATTATTGTTATTATATTCTTATTGTTTTGTTGTTATTATCATTATTATTATTATTATCATTGTCTTCATTACCATTATTGCTATAATCATAATTATCATTATTATTATTATTATTATTATTATTATTATTATTACAATTATGATTACCATTACTGTCATTGTTGTTTTTGCTATCATTTGTATCATTGTTATTGTTATTTTAGTGATTATTGTTTCTATTACCAATATTATCGTTATTATTATCATTAGCATAATTATTTTATTAATTACTATCATCATCATTATTATTATTATTATTATGGTCATTATCATTATAATAATCTTCAATTATCGATATCATTATCATAATCTTCAATTATCGATATCATTATCATAATCTTCAATTATCGATATCATTATCATAATCTTCAATTATCGATATCATTATCACAATCTTCAATTATCGATATCATTATCATAATCTTCAATTATCGATATCATTATCACAATCTTCAATTATCGATATCATTATCATAATCTTCAATTATCGATATCATTATCACAATCTTCAATTATCGATATCATTATCATAATCTTCAATTATCAATATCATTATCATTAGTAGTTTAACAAAGATCCAAATTAAGAAACAAATATGTTACCTGGGATCACTGACAATACAGTTTCCCGTTTTTTACCTCCGCCAAGGAGGTTATGTTTTTGACGGCGTTGGTTTGTTGGTTTGTTTGTTTGTTAACAGCGTAGCTCAAAAAGTGCTGGCCGGATTTCATCGAAATTTTGGGGACAAGTCAGAAAGGGACTAACTTAGAAATTATTAAATTTTGGTGACATTCCGAATTACCGTCTGGACGCAGCAGCGGTGTAAGTACATCCGAAAGATAATCATGATATTTTTGGACTTGGCCGTGTCCCGGGTGTCACTGTGGATGCAGTAGCGGTGCAAGTACATCCGAGCGATAATTATGATGTTCTTAGACTTGGCAGCGTCCCGCATGTCACACTCATAAAAAAACATAATCACCGTCTGGATGCAGCAGCGGTGGAAGTACATCCGAACAATGATTATGGTGTTCCTAGACTTGGCCGCGTCCCGCGTGGCATACAAAACACACACACACACACACACAACACACACACTCACGCACACACACACACACACATCCAGAATATTTAAAAAAACTAAAAAATGTCGATGTTATAAATATTTTACCAACACCACCTTTATATAATGTTAATAAAATGTTAAAAATGGCCCTCATACACAATTGAAAAGCGAAGTTTAGCTTTTTAATTGTGTATGAGGGCTATTTTTTTTTTTACTTTAACCCCAAATTCTCACTGATATTTATTTTCCCGTAAAAATGTTTGAGACAAAATGGCCCTCATACACAATTAAAAGCAAACTGTTGCCTTTTAATTGTGTAACTCCGAGCTGTCTGATCCTTTTCATCCTCAACCAAAGTATATATATTATATACGCACCTTGGCGGAGGTCTGCACTCTCTGAGTGCTTTTCTAGTTTATCATTACTTCGAGAGGGTTTTTTTTAGCAAGCATTGGCAGGTAAGAACACGTTTGGTTCAATTATATCGATATCTTTGGGAAAATCCCCTAATTCGTCGGATATTTGGATATTTCAAGAACTCTCTAGCAAAATTACCACATTTAGGCCTAAGTGAATGCGATAACAGAGCCCAGACTTCGGATTAAAACATCTCTAACTTTTTTAAATAACCATTAAAAAAAACGCAAATTTGCGGTGAAACTTGGCAATTTGCATATACTGCTATTCTGTATATAACTTTAACACCATGATGCAAAAGTGATCATTGATTACAAACTCTAATCAAAGCCGAAGTCCGAGTTTTGGCCTCGTATTTGAACCATTTGAGTAATGGCGTCTTATCTCAACTGATGAACGAATCGAACTAATTTTACCGAAAATGTCACTGATATCAGACGCTATCACTCAGCAGACACGGTAGGACAGAACCATGAAAACCGTGAAAGAAAAACAGCGCAAATAAATGCAGCATTGGTGATTGGTTCGAAACCTCCTTGCAATTCATCACATCAGAAGGGAAGGTATTTATAAAGACTGATGGACACCGCAGATAACGGTAGTTCCGAGAAATAATAATATTTTGTTGTGGAAGAGGGACAGAGAAATAGACAGAGACAGAGGAAGAGAAAGAGACAGAGATAGAGGAAGAGGAAAAGATAGAGACAGAGGAAGAGAAAGAGACAGAGATAGAGGAAAAGGAAAAGACCGAGACAGAGAAAGAGACAGAGACAGAGACAGACACAGAGAAAAAGACAGAGACAGAGAAAGAGAAAGAGAGAGACAGACACAGATAAAGAGACAGAGAGAGAGAGAGATCAATGCGCGCGCGCTTGTGTGTGTGTGTGCGTGTGTGTGTGTGTGTGTGTGTGTGTGTGTGTGTGCGTGTGTGTGTGTGCGTGTGCGTGTGCGTGTACGTGTACGTGTACGTGTACGTGTGCATGTGCGTGTGCGTGTACGTGTACGTGTACGTGTACGTGTACGTGTACGTGTACGTGTACGTGTACGTGTACGTGTACGTGTACGTGTACGTGTACGTGTACGTGTACGTGTACGTGTACGTGTACGTGTACGTGTACGTGTACGTGTACGTGTACGTGTACGTGTACGTGTACGTGTACGTGTACGTGTACGTGTACGTGTACGTGTACGTGTACGTGTACGTGTACGTGTACGTGTACGTGTACGTGTACGTGTACGTGTACGTGTACGTGTACGTGTACGTGTACGTGTACGTGTACGTGTGCGTGTACGTGTACGTGTACGTGTACGTGTACGTGTACGTGTACGTGTACGTGTACGTGTACGTGTACGTGTACGTGTGCGTGTGCGTGTGCGTGTGTGTGTGTGTGTGTGTGTGTGTGCAACAAAGAGAGACGGAAAGGGGGAGAGTGACAGAGGGAAAGGTAGGGTGTATATAACTCTGTCTGTCTGTATGTGTATGTATGCGTGTGCGTGTGTGTGTGTGTGTGTGTGTGTGTGTGTGTGTGTGTGTGTGTGTGTGTGTGTGTGTGTGTGTGTGTGTGTGTGTGTGTGTGTGTGTGTAGATGTGGGTGTAAATGCACAGAGGAAGTGATTGTAATGTAAGAATAGTTATTGATTTGTTATTTTCTTAAGACTGGTTGATCTAACAGACCCAATGACCGCGTATCTAAGGAACAGTTTAAGGTCAAAGGTCATTCAAGTGACCAATAAGACGGAAGGCTTATTACTACAGTTGTTATTATTAATATCATTATTACTGTTATTTTTCTTATTATTGTTATTGTTATCATTATCATCATCACCATTATCATCAATAATATTATCACAACTAGTAGTGGTAATAGTAATAGTATTATAGGTAGCAGAGGTATCAACAGTAGTAGTAGTAGTAACAGTACTAGTAGTAGCAATAACAATAGTAGTGATAGCAGCAGTAGTAAAAGTAGTAGCGCTATTACAACTACTACTACTACTACTACTAGCACAATAGTAGTAGTAGTAGCGGTGGTGGTGATAGTATAATCATAACTATCATCATCATCAGCAGCAGCAGCAGCAGCAGTAGTAGTAGTAGTAGTAGTAGTAGTAGTAGTAGTAGTAGTAGTAGTAGTAGCAGCAGCAGGGTCACTATTACTAGTAGCAGCAGCAGCACTACTACTAGTAGTTGTAGTAGTAGCAGCAACAGTTCTAGTAGTAGTAGTAGTAGTAGTAGTGGTGGTATAATCATTACCATCAACATTAAATCAAAACTTCGGTTCCTCTTCTTCATACAAATTACCGATTAACCATAAAGTAACACAAGAGTCTTCAGTTGACAAAACACTGACTAGGCATAAATCACCACCGCCACTAACAGCAACAAAACGAGACTGCAAGATGAAACATAAAAAATAAAGATACTGTACCACATGCCAAAATGAACATACGAATACAAGGCATTCTAGTGTCTAACTAATTCAGTTCACTTAAGCACCAGTTTCAAAACGTGGCATGGAGCCTGATAGACGAATGGCGTTGAGAAATCTTAAGAAATGTGATAATTTGTAGCGTGTTGAGTCAAGTGCACGATATGTGATCACTACATGACAGAGAGAAAAATAAAAAGTGCTGAACTAATAAAAGTTGGTTAAAAAGAAACAGAATAAAAATAATATTTGTTAAAATGTAACGGATAATGATAAATAAAGACTGAAGTAAAGAAATAATTAAATAAACAGATGAATAATTTAAGATAACAGATAATGAAAAATGGTATATTACAGTTATCTGTTATTTTGCATAAAATAAAGAACTGACAAAAAGAATATTGAATACTTCACACTCTTGATACATGCAGAGTTGCACTTAAGAGTTACACTACTCATCAGTCCGAAATATACTTGATGGAATGTGCACTGCATACTACACAGGTATAACATGGACTGAATGAAGTATAAGCCATATGAAATGTATGATAAGTGAACTATAAGCCAAGTACCTTATCAAATATCAGATAAATAATGAACTATCAAAGGTGGAAGCACCAGTTGCCTTGTTATATTCGAAAAGTATCCTATAAATAAAGCAGTGAAATATAATTATATGTAAATGACCTCCAGGACAAGCTGCGACAGATTACTGACCAGGAATAAACATGCAGTAGAAAAAAAAACATAAGCGAAACATAGAAACAATGTTAAAGAAACTAAATTAAACACCAGATACACTTGGCAAGAAGTAAATGTCATGATTGCGATTCAACCATAAAAAAGAAAAGAAAAAAAATCCTGCATATTTCACAACATGAATCTGGACAACGCAGGGATACATGTATGTATCATTAATCAGCTGATAGACAGTCACACAAAGCACAAGCTTGGAAAATGCATTCTTGAATTTGTGATTGCCGATTGCTCCTTTCCAACCACCCACTTACTCGTAAAATCCCCATTAACCTCACGTAGCGTTGACTGAAATAATAGCACGTTTATCGAACTGTTAGCATGTTGCTTGCAAAGGTGCGTCCACACAACAGGAATGCATATTATGAACTACCGCTAGAGACCATATCGCATACACAGTCACTAACAGAGATGCAAGACAAGATAACAACCGCCGGTGGAGAAAGGAGTCACTGACAGATGTTGGATATTTGAATGAAATTTGAGGTAGGTTGCCATCCCGTTCGTGGTCAGGGTTATGATTCGATGGAAATTCGCCTGCTAAACGAAAAACGAAGGACAGCCGTTGACGTACTGGTTAGGCTGCAGAACCTGAGGACTTTTTTTCTGTGGCAACATATCTAAACAAGGTATTTGCAAAATAAAGCGAAAAGTATTAACATAAGAGTATATACATGTGATTTCTCTGTTTATCTGTATCACAGTTAAAAATATTATTTTCCCGATATGAGAATTTAACCCTAGTTCACCATCTCATTAAAGTGGTATGACTGGCTAACCACCGCAGGATGGCAGCCAATTAAAGTGCGATAAAGATGCACACACAAAGTACAACTTTCTATGTGATAATCTGCACGTTGTGGTCTTTTCTATGTTATTATGTATTATTATACTGTGGTCTTTTCTATGCTATACTATAATTGACATGCGTCAGCGATTCGCCGCTGATAGCACAACACTTGCCGGTATACACATACACCTGAGTTAAATATCTCGTATAAAAAAAAAATCAAACGCAGGTGTTTCGGGCAAGTAATTTGAGAAGACCGGCTGTGACTGCTAATCACAAAATTCTATTGAAAATCTCAATCACAGGAAACGAGCGGAAAGCCATAAAGATTCAAATTGCATGTCTCATTTGCAATTATACAGTGATCAGTGTCTGGGGAAAGCAGGAGGTAGTTTAGGTGATCAAGGTATATCGAAGTAATATAAGCAGGTGATAACTACTTCATGTTTACTGAGGTGATGGCATTACGGAAGCGTGTTGGTTGAGGTTATAGCTTGCTGCCTCAGTGGATATTTCCCATAAGATAAGGTGATAACATTATCATTAGCACCATTATTGGTATTATCATCACTATCACTGCTGCTATTACTGTAATTAGTATTATTGTCATTATCATTACCATTGTTATTATCATTATCGTTTTTATTGTTTATTATCATTATCGCTTTTACTGTTTATTATCATTATCGTTTTTATGAGAAGGAGGGTTATCACATCAATGTAGTACTACTGTTAATATTATTGCCATGTTATCATTATAACTGCATTTATCATTATTATCATTCTCTTCACTACCATCATCACCATAGGGAGTCACCATCGATACCATCCTCATCACCGTCACTACCTTCATCACATCAGAACCCACATCACCCTCGCCATCACCCTAACCATTAACACTTAATGGCCCTGTCCCTCCCTGGTCCTTTGTCATCGCTGTGGTCTTCGTATCGATGCGACTGTCGCAAGATACAGCGGACAATGACATGACAATGCTGGATGCCGGTCACTTTCCAACGTGACTGCGATTGCCCAGGAGAACTACCAACCTATACGATATACCTTAATTTGTTAAGTAATTGTGAGGGCTATTAACAGGTTTACATACAGTGTAACCGTTATATATAATTTGTAGAATAACAATGTTAATTTAAAGTGGTATATTCCAACCAATTTGGTAATTATTAGTTTCAGACGATCTGTTGATTAGCCGCAGATGTGAAAGGCCGTGGTCACACTTGCACTTGATACTCACTGTTGCCGGAATTCGCAAATTATAGTTGCTGCAGCCAAAATTCTGCAATTTCCGCGCCCGATTCCCGTGATTTCCTGTTTTCCAATTTCAGAGGAACCAAAAGTTGCCACAGTGAAAGTTATCTAAGACAAAACCCCCTATACGGATGTTACTTTAAATATATGGAAATACATTTCTTATAAGCCTCCGGTTAGATTGGAAACTATGTTTTCTTTCGGTATATCTGCACCAAGTAGGTCTTCATTGTTTTATTCTTAAAAAAAAAAAAAAAAAAAAAAAAAAAAAAAAAAAAAAAAAAAAAAACAGACTGTCAGCTACATTCTCTATAAAGAGGAACTATTCTACCCTCTTCATCATCACCACCTCCCTCACCATCATCATCATCACCTCCGCCCTCGTAACCATCACTCATCACCACCACCCTTACCCTTATCACTTTCACCATGATTATAGCCCTCTTCACTCTCATCACCATCACCCTCACCCGCCTTACCTTCATTACCACCCTCACTCATAACCACCATCTTCACCCTCATCACCGTCACCGTCCTTACCACCCTCACCACCACCACGACCCTCAATTTTATCCTCATTACCACCGCCCTCACCCTCATCACCCTTACCCTCACCCTCACCCTTATCATCCTTACCCTCATCACCACCACCCTTACCCTCAGCCTCACCACCGCCTCCCTCACCCTCACCACCACTTCCCTCATCCTCATCACCCTTACCCTCACCCTCACCACCGCCTCCCTCACCTTCACCCTCACCACCACCACCACCCTCATCCTCATCCTCATCACCCTCATCCTCATCACCCTCACCACCACCTCCCGCACCCTTACTCTCACCATCACCCTCACCACCACCTCCCTCACCTTCACCCTCACCCTCACTCTCACCCCCCCCTCTCGTGCCACAGGTCGCTGGGTCGTCGAAAGAAGTGTTCGTGTATTCCGCCTACCTCGATCGTCGCGGCCACTTGAACGTCATACGTGTTATGGCCATTATCAGGAAACGAAAGAAGGTTTGTTGTCTGTATTTTTCTGTTTCTTTTTTTTTTTTTTTTTCCTTTTCCTTCTCTTTTGTTACTCTTAGTTTCTATTTTTTTTCTTTCTTTTTTTTCGTTTCTAATTTTTTTTTTTTTTGATTTTTTGTTTATTGTTCTTTTCCTTTGTTTTTTGTTTTGTTTTCTTCTTCTTCTTCTTCTTCTTCTTAATGTATTGTCTGACTTAGTATTTTATGTTTTTTTTTTCTTTCTTTGGCAATCCACTTCACTTCTGCGTTGTGTTTGTTCGTTATATATATATATATATATATATATATATATATATATATATATATATATATATATATATATATATATATATATATATGTATATATATATACATATATACATATATATATATACATATATACATATATACACACACACATATTTATATATAAATATATATATATATATATATATATATATATATATATATGTATATATATATATATATATATATATATATATATATATATATATATTATTTTTCATTATCTCTTGCGCCATTTCCCTAGGGAGTTACAAGAAAAAGTTTTTCAAATGTATTTTAGATGTGTTTCTGAACGAATTTCTTTTATTCAGTTGTGTATATATATATATATATATATATATATATATATATATATATATATATATATATATATATATATATATATATATATATATATATATATATTCTCATTCTCTCTCTCTCTCTCTCTCTCTCTCTCTCTCTCTCTCTCTCTCTCTCTCTCTCTCTCTCTCTCTCTCTCTCTCTCTCTCTCTCTCTCTCATGCTTCGTCCGCTTCTATTATTTATTATCGTGGCTGTGCCAAAGTTCGTCTTCGTACACACTTTTTTGTTTGTTTGTTTTCTTGTTCAACTCCTTACACATAAGAAACTGGCAGCTCCCATACAGTTCGGTGTTCCGGTATTAATATTGACTCGCTCTTGTGTCAACA